AAATAACATGGCTAGTTCCAACCTCGTACCCAGGGTCTTTACTCGTGGGGAGAAAAGACCCTGGTTGCCGCTGGTCACGTGGCACCCAGATTCTGGGTGCTAAATTGAAATTTTCCTGTGGGAGGGGTGGGAGAGGAGCGTACGTTTGTTATCGGAAAATTTTCCTCGTAGTATTGTGTTTTGTCCTTCGCAAAAAGAAAAAATATACATAGTTCACGCTTGAAGATTTTGTGTTATTGCAATTCAATAACACTGTCATGGCCTCAGAAGAATGGAGTATTAAGTTACATGTTAATCATGGAATTAGATCAAATTTCAAAAGAATACTCATTCAGTTTTCGCCAATGGCTAGTAAAGGCACGCCAAAAAAGTACTACAAGAATCCATCTAAATCGTCGGTCAATATCTCGCGCTGCAGACTCTGTAATTCTGTTGGTGATCCGAGGCATTGTAAAGGTTTGTTTCGGGACTCTAACGTCGCGATTTTACGTGACGTTGAGACTATTTTCGGCGATAAGTTGCCACAAAGTAGCAACCTTCCGCACTTGATCTGTCGGCCATGTGAGAGAAGACTAAAAACTGCTATACTGTTAAAGAAAACAATTTACGAAACGCAGCAACAACTACAAGAAGAAATCCGTGCCAAACGTTGTGTTGAGATATCGCCGTCGGTCGATAAACCAGCACCCAAAGTTCGAGCAACTGGGATTACGCGTCGACGCAGTATTGATTTTGACATCGCTACCTCTGAAAGCGCAAGTCCTACAACATTACCTTCACAAGTAAGTGTTCTTTATTTTGCGTGTAATGCTGTTTAATTCTAGTATTTTGATATTTTTCTTGTAGAATATTTAGCGCTATTAATGAGGCGTGATATTCACAAATGATTAATATTTAATCATGGTCATGAATAATAAGATCTATATTTGGTTCATACTTCATAGTAATTTTAATTTATTGTGAAATGTTTCGAAATTGATATCTTTTAAAATATATTCTAATTTGCCTATTTAAAGGAAGGTGAATTATTGGATTTGGCTAAGGCAAATCAAGAATTGATTGAGGTTGCCAGAAGAAGTGAACCATCTGTTCTCAGGCAAATATCCTATGATGGTATGTCAGATGAGGGTTGGATGTCGGAAGTGTTAGAAGAGATGGCAACCAGATGTCCAGTTGTGAACAAAATACTGCTATCTCTGATAGAAAGCAGCATCTATCCGGGGAAGAAGAATCCTGGCATCTGCTTAATTTATGGCATCATAATGTTCTTAAGATGCCATGAATTGAGTAGAATTCAGAGAATAAACTCGGTTTTGTTGGTACAAGGTCAAGCATCTGTTAATGTAAGTCATTACATTTTCATGCCCAAGTAATTTTTTGTGTTGTTAAATATGTTATGAATATAAAGTAATCTAAATACTTAATTAAGCCCTCTGATTAAAACTATCCATATTGGAGCCACATCAACAGTATGAAAAATTGCTATGAGACAATGAATTCTGCTTAACTGCTGTAAATAAAATTGCTTAGGCTTCTAGCTTTAGGCAGTTGCCAGGCAGTTAAATCAATTTTGTGCATGTGTGGCCAAATGAACGAGATCACCAATGCACTGATAGGATATGCCATATGCATGGTTAGGATTTACAAGTGTTTAGTAAATAAAGGGTTTTTAGCATATGTAGTCAGGTAATACTGAAATTATTTTACCACAGGCTCATCATGTCCTTCATTGTACTGTAACACTAACAGCTGACTTAACTAAATATTACCATTCAATTCTGTTTGTGTATTTAGAACCAAAAATTCTGAATTTGCATTCTTATTGAATGCTGTACCTGTTTTAGAATGATTGACAACTGATCTTGTAGCCTTGTATGTGATTCCTGATTCTTTTGTACCTTCTCCCCAGAATTCAACATTTGTTTTTTGATCATCTGTTATTTAGTGTATTGCCAAATTGAATAAATATGGGCTATGTCTTGAGCCCACCAAAAAGTACAAGATCCTTGACGATGTTGGAAAACATTTACTTGACCGTGCCACAGAGCTAGTGAAGTCTGGTTACAAGTTTGTCTACGTATTAGACAATATCGACTGGGAAGAAAAAGCACATGATATGAGGCAGGATATTCAAAACCGTAGCGTTCATGCAGTTGCTTCCAGTATTGTCTTTAATCGAGTACCAGACCAAGGCTTTTCTGACTCTGGTCCACAGCAGGATCTCAGGAAAATCAATGCCAGGGATGTGGTGGCTGTAAATGATTCAGAGCTAAAAGAGATACGAAGTCGGTACCAGGTCATCATTGCCAAAATTTTGTTTGAACATTTACCATCCTTCGCCATGTTTCAACCATTTACCCCTCAAACCACCAAATGTGTTTATTCCAAAGAATTATCCGAAAAATCTGAGGTTGTCACAATGCCAGTACTTATGAAAGATGAAAAGAAATACTCGGACTGTGTTGATGTTTTGGACCAACTTGAGAAGTGGACTCGTGAAATATATTCATCAGCTGGACTGTGTGCACCAGAGCCTGAAGAAAACTGTGAAAGTACACCTGCAATTGGAACAACATCAAGACCTGATCAACCTGCCTCACATGTCCCACCAGCTGCATCTGAGAGTGATCCATTGCATGGTGTGAAAGTACCATGCTTTGGAGATCAACTCACCCGTGTTAGATTTGCTGGGGCAAAAGATTTACGTGCTGGGTGCCATTCAGCCAAGCAGAGGTTGGATCATCTCTATCCCTTTTGCATTGTTGACTGGCATACGAAGAGAAGTTATCTTAAGGTATTGTAGTGTATAATTGTCTACTCCTATAAATTATTTTGCGCCTGTAGTTTTATTTGCACCCATGATTTACACTGGTCTCTGCAAAATTAATGTATCAACACTGGTACTGCAATTGGGTAGATTGTGTCGAATACTAAACAGGTATGTCCTTGGAATATTTGTCTTCTAATATTTCATTTACTGCTTTTCAGACTGTTTTTAAGAAATTATATCTCAATTCTGGAAGGGAAAAGGGTACACTTCGCTTCTTCAGGGAAAAGCTAAACAGGAGAAATGTTACAGCTGATGTCAAACACTATGAGGATTGTGAGCAGCTGTTTTTCAGTGTTGGTAAGTGTTTTGTTATCGAAGCCCTTTTGGAGTTTTTCCAAATGGGTGATGCAAAACACAAGCCAACAGCAAACGGTCCTCATAGTGTTTATGTTCTCAGTGAAGAGTACCAGAAGAGCTACCTCAACAATACCCTGGACAAATTCCTCAATGAGTATGTTTTTGTTGGTGATGATGAGACTGTGGCAACTGATGATGAGACTACGTTATCTGGTGATGATGAGACGACTGATGGTGTTTGGGCCTACAGTATAAACATCTTGAAGTCATTCCTTCTGCTGGCAGATATAAAGGATGCTGTTGCAACAGGTAATGGTGAGTACCTGTGTGTGTTAAGAAAGCAGCTGTTACAACATTTCTTTTCCACTTCTGGTTTTAATGAGTTTACAATTGAAATGTTCATCAATATTTTGCAAACCAAAGTCCTCTTATCAGAAGCTGAAGCCCATAGATGCAAATGGGCTGCTACTGTTAATTGGAAAGGTGGGAATGGAAAGAACATTGAAATTGATCTATTTCAAGAGAACCGCAACTGCGAGATGAAAAAACTGATTCGTTCTATGGGGGCTAACAAAACTGAAAAGGCAATCGAAAGGGCAAGCAAAGCATCAGGAGGAGTTTCGAAAATTGTGGAGGCATTCGAAGGTCAGGTGAATATTCGACCAAAGTCATCAGGCCACACACACAAGTCGTCAGCTGATGATGAACAACTGATAGGGAAAGATTTGAGGGCATTAAGACCATTTAGGAAGGAAGAGGGTAGGATGTTTGAGACATTTGGAAATATCTCGTGTGATCCACTACACTCATTCAATGAAGAAAAATTCAAGGAATGGATTGACAGGCATAAGAACAACATTCTCATGCATTACCCAGTGTTTGATGACAGAGAACAATCAACTGAATGATTAATTTTAAAATAAAAACATTATAATAGCACTTGTGCAGTGTTTTCTTTTATGCTATTGTCTTTACCTGCAACACTTACGTGATGCAATATATTTGCTTTACACCAAAATGAGGTTTAGTGATGAAGACAATAACATAAGGGAAAACCTGCAGAAGTACTATTGCTATATTTGGGGGAAATTATTTGAGACTGAACCATTTGAAACCCATCACCTCCTAATACAATTAAACTACCCATATCACAATTTAACCATGGTACACATATGCCAGATTGATATACTCATTGGCACTGGCACTGTTCTGTTGTTGAGTGATATATTCTACCGTAAAATACTAAAGTAAGGTCTGTCTGGGGTGCATTGGGACTCAGTGGTTTCACTGGATTCATTAGTGTGTAAATAGACTTATATGTATTATGCCATATATTAAACTTTGTTACATATAAGATAATTTAATTTAATACTTTTAGTATTACAGTTGTTGTCAAAAAGGTTGTATATATATATACAGCCGCTGTCATTAATGTTGTCCAAATCAGGTATATCAATATACCTGTCATGTGACTTATTGGTATGCACCAACTCGAGTGTGCTTGCTATGTAAATATATCTGCTATGCGGGTGCTTCATACATTTACATATCAAGCACACTCGAGTTGGTGCATACCAATAAGTCACATGACAGGTATATTGATATACTTGATTTGGACAATATTAATGACAGCAGCTGTATATATATATTTACATATTTATTTATACATTTATACACTTAATACATTTTAGCTTAATCGGATTCTGAAGTTTCTAATAAGCACATAGTGCATGTACAATGTTCCTCACACACATTGCAACAAAGGTGTAATGGCTTGCAAAGAGTACTTTGTTCATAGTCCAAAGACTTTAACAGCAACTTTCTCAGACACTCATTCTCACTCGAACAAAAGTTACGCATATCGTCTTGCATATCAACTCTTCTTACCAATATCTCTGTTATTGTAATATAGGCTAGCTGTTGATGGCTTGCCATCCCTTCCAGCACGCCCAGTCTCTTGAAAATATGCCTTGACTGAATATGGAGGTCCAACATGAATCACCTGACGTATATTAGGTATGTCCACACCCATTCCAATGGCAACAGTTGCAAAAACCACCCGAATAATACTTCTTTTTGAGCAAAGCTGTTTCAAAATCTCTTCTTTCATTTGGTCAGTTTGTGGTGCATGGAACTGAGCAAACAACCTATTTGATGGGGTTGGTTTAGCACCTGGAGGGTAATACTGTTGGGGACCAAGAATATGCTCAAACAATTTATATGCAAATCCACATATCTTTAAGGGTGTATACAGAATTGTTAAAGGATATTGATTCTTTTCTTGGAGAAGACCAATTGCAATTGGCTCCAAAATAGACTTGACAGCATCAATGTCTTGTCCAGATCGAAATATTTTACTGTAAAAAATATTTTTCCTATCTGGATTGGCAACAATAGAAATGCAATTTTTCAATCCAAGTGAGTCCTGAATAGCCTTCATGTCCATCCTATTAGCTGTTGCAGTCATGGCAAGACATGGGACATCTGGGAACAATGCACATAATACTCCCAGTTTTCCGTAATCTTTCCTAAAGTCTTTCCCCTACAGTACGAAACAAAAATATCATAGAATTTGTTTAGTGAAGCATCCATTTTTTTCCAGATGGCTACCCAAATTTTACACATGGTATACTAGAAAATCTGTTTACTAATATTGGAATTTTCATTTTTCAAAATACTAACCATTCCACTATACAATGAGCCTCGTCTACGACAATAGCAACAACATTCTCTTGGTAGATATTGCTCAGCAATAATTCCCGTCCATATTTACTGGAAATCAAAGTCTCTGGATGCGCAAAAACAATGTTATAAGCTCCAACACGTAAATTGTTCTCTTCGCACAGACTGAAATCGACATCTACATAATCGTTCATATATTCCTCGTCAGAATCAAGTTCCCGACTTCTCGGCTCTTTCACATTCAAAACGGACGCTCGGATTCCACTCGTACTTAAGCGAGATATTTGGTCACTCGTCAAGGAATTAAGAGGCGATACAACGATGACTATTGAATCTATCTGTTCCGTTGAAATACTCGATTTCGAACTAGAACCGCGCAATTTATGTTTCGCGAACAACAGTACAGGCGTAAGATGGAAGATCAGAGATTTTCCATATCCCGTTGGTAAAACGCACATAACATCCTTTTGCAAGTAAATACTCTCAAGACAGATAACTTGCTTTGGTTTTAAGGTAATTTTTTTATATAAACTATTTAAAACCGCAAATTCCAAGCACGAGAAAAAGGCAATGTATTCCAACATGGCGAAAACAGCAGAAATGACAGCTAACAAGTGGAAGCATGTAATATGATACTTTCTCCACACCCCCTGAGGCGATGCAATTTTTATAGGCCACGTGACCAGCGGCAACCAGGGTCTTTTCTCCCCACGAGTAAAGACCCTGGGTACGAGGTTGGGCTAGTTCATATATGAACCTAGCCTATAGGCTAATTTTTCAATAGCAATCACTACAATGGAAAGTCTTCATTCGAAGCTATGCTTCAATCTCCAAAAAGCCAATTATTTATGTGAAAAAATTAAGCTTTTTTCCACCGTAGTATTTTTGAAACTCTTACACATTTCCCAGCGAATTTTTCTTTTCGTATCAAAAAAGTGTACATTGTCTCCAGTAAAGTGAAGTGCAACGCAAAAATCATAGCGCAAATAAGAAAAAAAATAATAGGAACAGAAAAGAAAATTCCAGAAACAACCTGTCAAGTAAATATAGTAATTGATGGTGTTGTATCATCCTAAATATTCTAGTTTTGCAAAAAGCATCTGTAACTTTTGTTTTCAGCATATCAAAGACGATTATACGGACTTTGAAACGCATCAAAATGTTTTACCGGAACCATCATATGTCAGGAAAACCCAAACATGAAGCAAACCATGCTTAAATCAACGTCACGACGTGTTTTACGACTTCGGAAGAGAAAAGAGTCGGGTCTTTCAAGCGTTTTTTTTTTTAGAACATAATATTTTCCATTTCTCTCCACGATATTGACTAACTGATGCAAAGCATTTTCAAATCGAAAAATGTCATATCTCTTAGATAGGGGACAAAAATATTTTGGATGCAAACTCCATTTTATCCTGATAATAATGTTTCATTGTTTGCTGTCCCATTTAATTGATGGTGTTCTATCATCCTAAATATTCTAGTTTTGCGAAAAGCATCTGTAACTTTTGTTTTCAGCATATCAAAGACGATTATATGGACTTTGAAACGCATCAAAATGTTTTACCGCAACCATCATATGTCAGGAAAACCCAAGCATGAAGCAAACCATTCTTCAGTCAATGTCACGACGTGTTTTACGACTTCGGAAGAGAAAAGAGTCGGGTCTTTCAAGCGCAATTTAGTTTTTTAGAACATAATATTTTCCATTTCTCTCCACGATATTGACTAACTGATGCAAGGCATTTTCAAATCGAAAAAATATCATATCTCTAGATAGGGAACAAAAATATTTTGGATGCAAACTCCATTTTAACCTGATAATAATGTTTCATTGTTCGCTGTCCCATTTAATTGATGGTGTTGTATCATCTTTAATATTCTAGTTTTGCAAAAAGCATCTGTAACTTTTGTTTTCAGCATATCAAAGACGATTATACGGACTTTGAAACGCATCAAAATGTTTTACCGGAACCATCATATGTGAAGAAAACCCAAGCATGAAGCAAACCATTCTTTAGTCAACGTCATGACGTGTTTTACGACTTCGGAAGAGAAAAGAGTCGGGTCTTTCAAGCGCAATTTAGTTTTTTAGAACATAATATTTTCCATTTCTCTCCACGATATTGACTAACTGATGCAAGGCATTTTCAAATCGAAAAAATATCATATCTTCTCAGATAGGGACAAAAAATTTTGGATGCAAACTCCATTTTATTGATAAATGTTTCATTGTTCGCTGTCCCATTTAATTGATGGTGTTGTATCATCCTAAATATTCTAGTTTTGCGAAAAGCATCTGTAACTTTTGTTTTCAGCATATCAAAGACGATTATACGGACTTTGAAACGCATCAAAATATTTTACCGGAACCATCATATGTCAGGAAAACCCAAGCATGAAGCAAACCATGCTTTAGTCAACATCACGACGTGTTTTACGACTTCGGAAGAGAAAAGAGTTGGGTCTTTCAAGCGCAATTTTTTTTTCAGAACGGAATATTTTCCATTTCTCTCCACGATATTGACTAACTGATGCAAGGCATTTTCAAATCGAAAAAATATCATATCTTTTAAATAGGGGACAAAAATATTTTGGATGCAAACTCCATTTTATCCTGATAACAATGTTTCATTGTTCGCTTTCCCATTTAATTGATGGTGTTGTATCATCCTAAATACTCTAGTTTTGCGAAAAGCATCTGTAACTTTTGTTTTCAGCATATCAAAGACGATTATACGGACTTTGAAACGCATCAAAATATTTTACCGGAACCATCATATGTCAGGAAAACCCAAGCATGAAGCAAACCATGCTTTAATCAACGTCACGACGTGTTTTACGACTTCGGAAGAGAAAAAGTCGGGTCTTTCAAGCAATTTATTTTTTTAGAACATAATTTTTCCATTTCTCTCACGATATTGATTAACTGTTGCAAGGCATTTTCAAATCGAAAACATATCATATCTCTTAGATAGGGGACAAAAATATTTTGGATGCAAACTCCATTTTTCTGATAATAATGTTTCATTGTTCGCTGTCCCATTTAAATGATGGTGTTGTATCATGCTAAATATTCTAGTTTTTCGAAAAGCATCTGTAACTTTTGTTTTCTGCATATCAAAGACGATTATACGGACTTTGAAACGCATAAAAATGTTTTACGGAACCATTGTATGTCAGGAAAACCCAAGCATGAAGCAAACCATGCTTTAGTCAACGTCACGACGTGTTTTACGATTCGGAAGAGAAAAGAGTCGGGTCTTTCAAGCGCAATTTATTTTTCAGAACATAATATTTTCCATTTCTCTCCACGATATTGACTAACTGATGCAAGGCATTTTCAAATCGAAAAAATATCTATCTCTTAGATAGGGGACAAAAATATTTTGGATGCAAACTCCATTTTATCGTGATAATAATGTTCATTTTCGCTGCCCATTTAATTGATGGTGTTGTATCATCCTAAATATTCTAGTTTTGCGAAAATCTGTAACTTTTGTTTTCAGCATATCAAAGACGATTATACGACTTTGAAACGCATCAAAATGTTTTACCGGAACCATCATATGTCAGGAAAACCCAAGCATGAAGCAAACCATGCTTTAATCAACGTCACGACGTGTTTTACGACTTCGGAAGAGAAAAGAGTCGGGTCTTTCAAGCGCAATTTAATTTTTAAAAACATAATATTTTCCATTTCTTTCCACGATATTGACTAACTGATGCAAGCATTTTCAAATCGAAAATATCATATCTCTTAGATAGGGGACAAAAATATTTGGATGCAAACTCATTTTATCCTGATAATAATGTTTCATTGTTCGCTGTCCCATTTAATTGATGGTGTTGTATCATCTAATATTCTAGTTTTGCGAAAAGCATCTGTAACTTTTGTTTTCAGCATATCAAGGACGATTATACGGACTTTGAAACGCATCAAAAGGTTTTACCGGAACCATCATATGTCAGGAAAACCCAAGCATGAAGCAAACCATGCTTTAGTCAACGTCACGACGTGTTTTACGACTTCGGAAGAGAAAGAGTCGGGTCTTTCAAGCGCAATTTATTTTTCAGAACATAATATTTTCCATTTCTCTCGAGATATTGACTAACTGATGCAAGGCATTTTCAAATCGAAAAAATATCATATCTCTTAGATAGGGGACAAAAATATTTTGGATACAAACTCCATTTTTCGTGATAATAATGTTTCATTGCTCGCTGTCCCATTTAATTGATGGTGTTGTATCATCCTAAATATTCTAGTTTTGCGAAAAGCATCTGTAACTTTTGTTTTCAGCATATCAAAGACGATTATACGGACTTTGAAACGCATCAAAATGTTTTACTGGAACCATCATATGTCAGGAAAACCCAAGCATGAAGCAAACCATGCTTTAGTCAACGTCACGACGTGTTTTACTACTTCGGAAGAGAAAAGAGTCGGGTCTTTCAAGCGCAATTTATTTTTTCAGAACATAATATTTTCCATTTCTCTCCACGATATTGACTAACTGATGCAAGGCATTTTCAAATCGAAAAAATATCTATTCTCTTAGATAGGGGACAAAAATATTTTGGATGCAAATTCCATTTTATCGTTATAATAATGTATCATTTTTCGCTGCCCCATTTAATTGATGGTGTTGTATCATCCTAAATATTCTAGTTTTGCGAAAAACGTCTGTAACTTTTGTTTTCAGCATATCAAAGACGATTATACCTACTTTGAAACGCAACAAAATGTTTTACCGGAACCATCATATGTCAGGAAAACCCAAGCATGAAACAAACCATGCTTTAATCAACGTCACGACGTGTTTTACGACTTGGAAGAGAAAAGAGTCGGGTCTTTCAAGCGCAATTTATTTTTTGAACATAATATTTTCCATTTCTCCACGATATTGACTAACTGATGCAAAGCATTTTCAAATCGGAAAATATCATATCTCTGAGATAGGGGACAAAAATATTTTGGATGCAAACTTCATTTTATCCTGATAATAATGTTTCATTGTTCGCTGTCCCATTTAATTGATGGTGTTATCATCTAAATATTCTAGTTTTGCGAAAAGCATCTGTAACTTTTGTTTTCAGCATATCAAGGACGATTATACGGACTTTGAAACGCATCAAAATGTTTTACCGGAACCATCATATGTCAGGAAAACCCAAGCATGAAGCAAACCATGCTTTAGTCAACGTCACGACGTGTTTTACGACTTCGGAAGAGAAAAGAGTCGGGTCTTTCAAGCGCAATTTATTTTTTCAGAACATAATATTTTCCATTTCTCTCGAGGATATTGACTAACTGATGCAAGGCATTTTCAAATCGAAAAAATATCATATCTCTTAGATAGGGGACAAAAATATTTTGGATACAAACTCCATTTTTCGATAATAATGTTTCATTGTTCGCTGTCCCATTTAATTGATGGTGTTGTATCATCCTAAA